CCCCCCCCAATATCTTTCCAACCCAAAATATATTTTTCAGGGATTTAACCCACAAATACTTGTCTCACCTACAACAGGGGTCAAATCCCACTAGACTGTACATTCTTACCTTCTTTAAGGATAAGAGACTATGTCCTGTTCTCCTCTGAATCCCCAGGCCTTGGCCCCTAAGTTATTGTTCCATCAGCATACATGGGAGGCCTCCTTCCACTTGCCAGAGCAAATCTGCTTCCCCAGATGTGGCCTTCAGAGACAGGGGTGCTCTTCATTGATCATCGAACCCTCCATCCCTCCTCACCATCCAGCTCAGAAGGTGCCAAATAAATAGTTAACTGAACTCTTCTTAGCCAAAGATTGCCAAAGGCCCAGTCTTTTTGATCTTATATAAGAAGCAGTGGTCAGTAGCCAGGTACAATGTGCATGCCTATAATCCCAGTACTCGGGAGGCAGAAGAAGGAATATTGCAAGTTCAAGGCCAGCCTCAGCAACTTAGGCCCTAAGCAACTTAGCAAGACCCTGTCTCAAAATAAAACATTAAAAGGGCTAAGGAGGGATGGGGCTGTAGCTTAGTGGCAGAGAGCTTGCCTCAGTATGTGTGAGGCACTGAGTTTGATCCTTAGCACACATAAAAATAAATAAAGGCATTTTGTTCATCTGCAACTACAAAAAAAAAATTTAAAGGGCTAAGAATGTAGTTCAGTGGTAAAACACCCCTGGGTTCAATCCCCAGTACCAAAAAGAAAGAAAGAAAAGAAACAGTGGTCAGCATCACTATATCTTGATCCGTCCAGGGTGTTGAGAATTGCACTGGATACGATTTCTAGGCAAAGGCATCAGACCTCTACTGCCCTGTTTCTGCATTAAAGTTCTTCTAGATTTGCCTTCCCCAGTGGTGGAGAGAGCATAGATTCTAAGAAGCCTGAGCTCTGCTCTGTTCCTAGTGCTATGTGGATCATTACCAGAAAGAACAGGCTCTCTGCCACTGGGGCCAAGTAGATGAACAAGCAGGGGGCCCAGCTGTGGGCCATAGTCTGTAAATGCACAGAATATTCTATGGAGCTGCAGTGTGTATGTTGGGGGTGCCTACCTGATGATGATGACATCACAGAGTCCCAGCCCACTCTGCAGTGCCTACATTCACTTTGTCCTGCGTGCAGCTTCCTGAGTGCTGGGGCTATTTTCTAGAAAAGAGTATTTTTCTGAGTTGGTCTTCCCTGGCTTCTCTCCCCATTTCCCATCCAGCTTACCACTACTCTCTGCCATGGCCTGTCCTCATTTTCCCCAGAGTTCTCAGCTCTCCTCTCACCACTGTCTTTGTCCCCAACTGGCATCTACCCCAGCATATTTGGGAAATTGCAGCCACCATGACCAGGCAGCTCTGTCACTCCCTCACTGCCAGGAGGCAGAGGCTTCCTCCTGTCCCCATGTCCACTGACTCTCTGTGAAGTACCCTAATATCCAGCATCCCTACAGTGTGGCCCTTGTGATGGTGCTCACAGATGAAGACAGTGAGGCCTGGGATTTGCCAAAGTCACCCAGCAACAAACTAAGCCTGAAGCCTGGCCTCTGGTGGGAGCAAGGGGACTCTCTACAAAGCACACATTCTAGCTTTCAAACCTAAAGCTGTTCCCCTCCATTCATGGCCTAATTCCTGCTCATCCTCCAAATGCCTACTTGTCCCCAGCCTCAACATTGGTGCCCAGGACCCACACACCCCATGACAGGGTGCCCTCATAATTACTGCAGCCATCCCCTTCCTTCCCTCAATTTGGGGGTCTTTAATGCACACCCCCCACACTAGGAGTTCACCTTTCTCCCCCTAGTGGCCACCCTGGGATGGTATCCACGTCCAGCATCAGAGAATTTGTATTAGTGAACACATCTCCTTTTCCCTGTTACCCTGGTGACTAGATCCCTCAGTGCTGATGGCCTGTAAGGAAAACCCCCCAGACATCAGATAGAGCCAGAATGGCTTCCTGTCTTGATTGCTTTTGTTAGGTTTGTTTTTTTATCTATCCAGTTGCGCCAGGACATCTTACCACATTACCCTCCACGGCGTCAGTAACCCCCCAGCTTACTCCATCAGCTCCTAGGCTGCACATAGCCAAGAAGCTGCTGTCCTGTTGCCATTTATAAGTTCCATTGCAAAAGAGCCAGCACTTTCCTCAGACAATCACAGGAAATAAGTTACTTACCAAATCTGAAAAAAGTAACATTTGTTGAGTTTCTGCAGAAAGTTTAAGCAAAAGTCGTTTGCTGAGCCCCTGTGCTGTACTGAGAACTATTCTAGACTCTGGCTTGAGTAGAGAAGTGAAGGAACCAATAGTGACAATCTGTGCGCTGTGCATTGGTGGGGAAGGTCAAATGTCAGATTGTAGAGGTAGGTGGGTAGGGCTTTGAATACACAGGCCTCATTTTCCAGGAGATATTAGTGGGCATTATAGTCTGTTCAAATAAATTTGTGATACAGGACTTTTTAAAAGGTTTTTGCCTGGCTTGAATGGGGTTTTGTTGTTTTGTTTTGTTTGTTTGTTTGTTTTTCAATTGTAAGAATTGGCAGCCATGCTGTGCTAACAGGCATTATAACTCTCCAAAAGGAGTCAGACAGCAGAAAGCACCTCCCAGGCCTGTCTGGCTGGGGAAGCCCCATTGTCCCTTCACACGGTATGGCTCCTGGGACAGTGTTTCTTAACAGACAACTTGGAAGATGTGGCCCTCCACTAAGGTGACTTAAGCTGGCAAGTGGCCTGATTGGGCATATTTTTTCTTTAAGTTCACTCTGGAAACAGGTGTAGAAGATACATTGGAGAGGGGAGGAAACCTGCTAATGGTGACAGTTGCTAAAGTCTAGTGGTGGCACCTTGCAAGAACCTGACCTGCATCGTCTCAATGAACCTTTCTAACAGTGGGTGGGTGCCATCACCCACCATTACCTGCACTTCATAGATTATCACAGTAAGGCTCAGTGTGGTCAAATCATGGGCACAGGGTAACTCAGAATAGGTGAGGCAACTGGGGTTCCATCCAAGACTGTCTGACCTCAAAGGCTACCTCCTGAGCGCTCTATTACACTGTCACTCAGCAGGAATGAAAGTACCCCAGGCCAGAGTGTCAAGCTTTGTAACAGTGGGATTGGAAAAGATAGTTACCCAGAAGCATACTGGCCAAGTCTAAGAGAAGCAGGGGACAGTCTGGCCTGGGGGCAGCATCTTGTACATGTGTGGAAGGATGAGCTCCTCTATCCCTGTCGTCTTCCTTCTGAGCAAAGTGACCTGGGGGTCCTGTCCCCTTCTGCCCCACACTTTACCTGTAAAGCCGTGGAGAGAAAGAAACATGGCAGCTGTGCCCATCTGTCTGGGAGCATCCCCTACCCACCAACTAAAGAAAGGGCCAGGTTGGGCCTCACTCCCAACTAGTGGCAGACTGGGAAGCCACAGTGTATTTCCATCCAGACACACTCCTCATGTGCTATGAGAGATCCCAATCCTCCATCAAGTCCCTCCACCAACTTTTCTCTGGGGCTACTCTGGCAGGCCCTGTGCTAGACATCAAGGATCCAGGTACACCTGTGACATGGGCCCTCCTAGGAGTTGAATTCAGAAAATGAATTCCGGAGCTGGGGATGTGGCTCAAGTGGTAGCATGCTCGCCTGGCATGCATGCAGCACGGGTTCAATCCTCAGCACCACATACAAACAAAGATGTTGTGTCCACCGAAAACTAAAAAATAAATATTAAAAATTCTCTCTCTCTCTCTCTCTCTTAAAAAAATATATAAATATATATATATTATATATATAATATATAAATATATATATGAATATATATATAATCTTGTTCTATATACTAGTTAT